GGCCCCCGGCTGCTGCTCGCTCGCCACTGAAAAGAAGCAGCAGCAGCAGCAGCAGCAGCGGCGGCGGCAGCGGCAGCAGCAGCGGCAGCGGCAGCGGCAGCGGCAGAGGCGGAGGCGGGAGGGTGGAGATGCAGGGGGCACGGATTAGTGCTGTGGCAGGGATGCTGGGCGTGCAGCAGCAAACAAGCAGCAGCAGCAGCAGCAGCAGCAGCAGCAGCAGCGGAGGGGGGGGGCTGGGTCTTACGGCGTTCGTCGATGACGTCGAGGGCTGCGTAAGCAGCAAACTCCCTGGGGGGGCCCCCGGGGAGTGGGGCCCCTCAAAAGAAAGGGTTTGAAAAGGCCCTTCTGTTGGAGATGGGAATATTTCTTTGTGGATAAGTTCAAATGCCACTTTTTGTCGATTTAGAAATAAAAGAATTAAAACGAGACGCAAATAAAATAAGTCCCGCTCGCTGGGGTACCCTAGCGGGGCCCAGGCCTTTAGCTGCAAAAAAAGGAAATTAATTACTTATTTTCTTATTTATTTATTTATTATTTATTTATTATTTATTCATTATTTATTCATTATTTATTTATTTATTTGTTATTATTTATCTATTTATTTATTTGTTTATTTATATATTTATTTACTTATTTAGTATTTACTTATTTATTTATTTATTATTTATTCATTTTTTATTATTTATTTATTTATTTATTTATTTATTTATTTATCTCACCAAGTTTCTGAGGGCCTGTGCGTCTCCGCAGTAAACCAAATGGCCCTAAAAGCAAAAACAGAAATAATTTGTTTTTATTGTTTTTATTTTATTTTTATTTTATTTTTATTTTTAATTCTTTTTGCCATTTGTAATCATTAATTGTTGTATATATTATTTATTATTTATTTATTTATTTATTCAATTATTTGTTTTTTATTTTATTCCTTTTTATTCGATTTTGCTTTTTTTTCATGAGACAAAAAGCCCCGTACAAAATTAAATGTTATTTAAAGTAATTAGTTGCTTTAATTAATTAATTAATTAAATTAAGTTAATGAAATTGATTAATTGAATTAAATAGTTAATTAAAATTACATAATTAATTAAATTAAATAATTAAATTAAATAATTAATTAAATTAAATAACTAATTGAAATAAACAAACCTGGCAGCTGCTGTAGTTCTTCATTTTAAAATTTGCTGCTGCTGCTGCTGCATGCAGCCGCAGAGACCCCACAGAGTCTTCTGGGGTGCGGGTCCACTTAATGGCTCTGCATGCAAAACCCTAAACCCTAAACCCTAAACCCTAAACCCTAAATTTCTTTTTCCAGCCGCCAGCCCGCCCCCCAAGAAGCTCCTCCGCGACAAAACTGCCCCATACGGCTCGCCGCAAACAACCACGCGCTAGGGTTTAGGGTTTAGGGTTTAGGGTTTAGGGTTTAGGGTTTAGGGTTTGTACTAGTTCTATTTGCTCCTCGCTGGGCCTTTCACTTTGCTGCACAAAAAAATCCAAAATTAAACCCGCGAGGTCCAAAGAGAGGCCGCCAAATCCCTTTTCTGTAAATAAATAAAAATAAATAAATATTTATTTATTTATTTATTATTTTTTTATTTATTATTCATTATTTTATTTAATTTAATTGATTCAATTGATTAAATTATTTGTTTGTTTATTTGTTTGTTTTTGTTTATTTTGTTAAATGGGTAATTGGTTAATGGTGAGTGAAAAGTAAAAATGAAAAAATTAAAAAAAATAAAAAATAAAAAAATCAGAAAGAAACTAAAATGAAAATAAATAAATAAATAAATAAAAGCAAATAATGAATGCATAAAAGGAAATTAAAAAAGAAATTAAAATGAGTAATAATAAATTAAAATAAATCCAAATAAACCAAATTTCAATATAATTTAATTTAACTTAATTAAATTTAATTTAATTCAAATGATTTAATTTAATTCAACTTAATTTAAAGATAAATTTGCGCAGTTTATTTATTTATTTTATTTATTTATTTATTTATTTGTTTTATTTACTTATTTATTTATTACCTGAAAGCTGCAGAGCAAATTCTTTGCAAATGGCCACAGAAACTTCGGGCTCTCCTTTGCTGATGTATCTGTTCATAAATAAATAAATAAATAAATTAACTAATTAATTAATTAATTAATTACAATAAATCAATAATTAATTAAATGAAAGAGAATTAGACGAAGTGTTTTGCTTCTATTACGGGGGCCCCTTGGGGGCCCCTGGGAACCCCTGGTGGATTTTAGGAGCTGGGGTCCCCCAGGGGGCCCCCAGGGGCCCCCAGGGGGCCCCCAGGAGCCCCCTGGGGCCCCCCCAAGGCTCCCTCGGGGCCCCCAGGGGCCCCCAAGGGTCCCCAAATGTATGGGGGGGCCCCCATCAACTTAGAGCCAATAGGGGGCCCCCAAAATGACCCAAGGTTCCCCAGGGGCCCCCCTGAACTATCCCAGGGGGCCTCTGGGGCCCCCAGGGTGTTCCAGTACCCTAATTGGCCCTAGCTGGCCCCCAGAGGCCCCCTAAGGCCCCCCAAGGGCCCCAAGAAACCAGGGGGGGCCCCGGAGGGCCCCAGGGGGCCCCCAAGGGGCCCCCAAGGGGCCCCCCGGGGGCCTCCAGGGGCCCCCGTTTGGCAGGTGCTGCGGGAAGTAGGGCTAGACCCGTTGGGGGGTCAGAGCGGC